TATTTTGCTATATCCTGAAAAGCCCTGAAGACCAGAGATTGCTGGTGAAGTGAGAATAAGAGGTAGGAAGTATCAAGTAGATGATAAGTTACACAGTGGCAGACAGCTTTCTCAGTGAAATATTCCTCCTCTGGCTTGCAGCAGGTGACTTCCTAAGAAAATGTTTCTTGAAGCTCATATATTTAGAACTACAGGATCAAGTCGCTTGTCCTAGGCTTTTTACTTGCCTTCCTTTTTAATGGTAGGCTGCAAACATATAAAAAAGCTTCAGTGAAAGCACTGGTGGCAAGTCAGACCAGAACTGACACAACTGCCTTATCCTTTACCAGGCAGTTTTAAATTTGGGGAAGAATGTGTTTTATCTGTCCTCAAAAACTGCACTGAAGCATCTGTTTATTTCATGAAAACACAAAGATTTGTAGGTTATAAGGCCAGAAAGAGCCATTATGATAATCTAGACTGATTTGCTATATAATTAATTCCTGTCTCGCTATGTCTTTCAGAGAAAACAAGATACTATTTTAATTTAAAGTTTGCCAGTAGCAGAGAACACACCGTAACCTGTAGTAAATTATTTCAATAGCAAATTACCCTCATGTAAAAATAAGTCATAATATTTTAAAATGTGAATTTCTCTAACTTCAATTTCTAGCCCCCGGATCCCATTATTCCTTTGTCACATGGATTGAAGAGCCCTCTATTGCCATATTCCATTTTCTGCACAGGTACTCATAGATTGTAATCGAATCACCCTTTAACCCCTACCTGTTAAACAGATTGAATTTGAATGTTTTTCACTACGGTACATGCATTTCAGTCCTTTAATTACATTCCCTTTTCTCATTCTCGAACCTTTGATTTAACAGTTGAGCTGCAGATACGGGAAGCTGTAAGGCAGTGTTTCATACCCAAGCCAGAGATGCTGTTGTCTCTCTAGTCCTGCTGAGGATTCACCTTGTTTTATGTACAAAGATTGTTTATATTCTTCTGTTTACAGTTCTGAGAGTTCTGGTTGTACCTAATTATATATCAAGATCTTGAGGTCCAAATGTGGCTGTCAACGATACCTCAAGTCAGTCGTGCAAACAGGCTTCCCTTTTTCCTTCAACACAGGTGTTTTTAAAATTTCCCAAGCTACATTGTTGTGTTGGGGGTTTTTTTGTTGATTGGTCTTTAAAGAAAATAGTGTAGAACAGCAAACATTTCAGTAAGAGAGATTCAGATCAGGGTGGATCTGTTTCTATGAAAAGATTGAAGTCAGAGCTCTCATAACTCTTGTATCTATTCAACACCCCTTCTCCTCTCTTGCCCAGTTCTTCCTTTGTGCTTGCTTTGTTGTCCCTTCTTCCAAACTTGCTCCCAGATCCACCGTTGTCAGTGACTTTCTGGGTTGGAACTAACTCCATATAATTTTCTCTAGATCCTTTGAAAGTCTTCTATGTCTCCAGGTGTGCTACTGGTATGACTAATGAAATACAAGGCAATCTACAGCAAACCCCAAATAAACCCAGAAGCAGACCATCTGTGTTTCCCCAGAAGAAATGGGAATTGTTACTCAAGTATGAAATACATGAGAAGGGGAGGTGTAACGTGTGCGGCTCAGCTGAGAGTTGGAAGCTGCTTATGTGTATGTGAACATATTCCTTCCACCAACAACCTGCAGAGGCTGCTGACAGCAAATCGTTGAGTCATAGCTAGACACAACCCAGCATTAGCCATCAATCAGATGTGGGGTATTCTGCTACCTTTCTGCTCCTCTGCAGAGACTGGGTCAAGATTTTCATGAGGCAATTTAGCTGAGAGTTGGTTTGAGCAGCTGTTAGTAGTGTCTTATAAGGGCAGTTCAATGTTAGGATCATTAAAGTCACAGTTCACGCAGACCTGACATTCTTGTGCCCACCAAAGCAGCTCCGTACTGGGGTAAAACCAAAAAGGCAGCGTTGCACTGAAGTTACACCAGCTGGGGAGTCCCATGTGTAAGTGCTGTCAGAAGAACGCTGTCCATGGGAACCTGTTACCAATTATAGAATCTTAGAGTTGTTTAGGTTGGAAAAGACCCTTAAAATCATCGAGTCCAACCATAAACCTAACACTGCCAAATCCGCCTCTAAGCTGTGTCCCTATGTGCCACATCTACATGTCTTTTAAGTACCTCCAGGGATGGTGACTCAAACTGAGCAGCCTGTTTCAATGCTTGATAACCCTTTCAGTGAAGAAATATTTCCTAATATCCAATCTAAACCTCCCTCCTCTGGTGCAACTTCAGGCTGTTTCCTCTCGTCCTATTGCTTGTTACTTCGGAAAAGAGACTGATACCCATCTTGCTACAACCTCTTTCCTAGGCTGCCCCTGCAGCAGGACAAGGAGTATGCTGTGCCCAATCTACTATACACATAGATTCCTTAAAAAAAAAGGAAGAAAAGCCCTAGTAGGCCTGAAAAGCCGTTAGTCCATTTACCCAGTATTCTGCCTCCATTAGTGGCAGTTGCAAGTGTTACTCAGGGAAAGCAGGTGAGTATGGCTACTATCGGTGGCACATTTGCCTTGTAGTCCCACAGCATCCACTGCTATTGGATTAGGATTGTTAGAAGGTCCATCCCTTCCTTTTCCCTTTAATATAAGTTTGTTAACCTGTTAACCATTTATCTTTCTGGTTCTTTTGGAGCCTGCTCTCTGCCTCCACAGCCTCCTGTGGCAGCAAGTTCCAGAAGTTCACTGACCTCTGTGTAAATAAGTTCTTCTGGAAATCCATTTTAAACTGATATCCTACAAGTTTCAATGAGTGTTTCTAGTTCTATTATTAATGGATTTGACAAAGAGCAGTTCTACATTCACCTTTTCCTCCATCTTCTGTGAACTTCAATCATATTCTTTCTCTGTCTTCTCCAAATAGAAGAGCCCTGGCCTTTTCAGGTTATACTCATACAGCATCCTGCTCAATACTCTTAATTGCTTTATTTATTTTCCTTTGTACCTTTGGCTCCTCTGTTTCCTTTGGGTGCAGAGTTGGGACTGCTCAGTAGTGCTTATGGAAAGCATTGGACTTGCTGCACACACAGAGTACGTGCAGAAGTCCTAGGCAGTCCAGATGTACAGAGTACATGCACATTGAGTACATCTCATGCTTCTTACCTTTCCTGGACAGGGATGTGGCTGCGGCTCCTCTCTGCCTTTGACTGAGGTGCACCTCGTTGTCTGGCAAGGGAGGGAGGCTGCCATGCATGGCCCTGCTGAGTCACTGGGCGGAGGTGTATGGTCTGTCTAGTGAGAGCATTTGACATGGTTAATCCGTAGAATGAAACTACTACAGTCCCACAAATTGAAAATATATTTTATTCCTGTTGCAGTTATTAATAGCATTGATGTTTTTGAAGTCTGTGCGAGGGCAGAGCGCTTTATTGGGAACTGGAGCAAAATGAGCTATTGTGGGTCAATGCTGTCCTCTGCTGGGAGGAACTGCAGCTTTGTGCCATGGCTCTAAATGGGAATTAACGTTTGGATTCTCCTTTCACTCTGATGATGCATTTGTAAGAGGAAGATCTGATGCTGTGCTGGCTTCACTGGGGAAATTCTCCTTTAATGCTTAGCAAAAGCTGGAAATTCTTTGCTTGCTACAAATATGTTAAATTGTGATTTAATTTATTTTTCATCCTGAGGTCACCTACTTTAGAAGCTTATCCTTCATTCTCTTCATCTTTTGCCATTTAATATTTACTGCAGATTAATTTCTCTGACTTTCCTGTCCTATTTGTAGAAATAACAATGCATATCTCCTTTCCCTTCTCTTTTCATAGCAAATTGCTGACAGTTCATCCTACTAGCATTTTCAAAGCAGGAATCAAATGTCTGTGTGCGCGTGTAGATGCCATATGTAATAGACACAAAGTATTTTAAAATAATAACTCCTTAGAAGAAATCAGAGTCTTCGGTAGTGTCACAAAGCATGAATTCAATCAAAATTGTGCTAGGAGCAGAAATGCTTTTGCTGGCTCTCTGTGCCAATTCTGGGTTTAGGAGGTGTGGAAGGGAGTTGAAAGAACATACAGTTTGTGAACATTGCTGCTCTCTGCCTTCTGCAGTCGCTGCCTCTGTGTGAATGGCACGGGGCAGAGAGGAGTCCTCTTTGCAAGGAATTAATTGTGTATCTGTGAGAAAGAGAAGGGCAGCAAGTCCAGACTCCTTGCTCAGGAGTGCTTGCCTGGTTGGGACCTTCTCTTGGCTGATTTCCATCCATGTAGCACCACACAGACTCCAGAGTCCTGGTCCTTATAATCCAGAGAGTGTCAGAGTCCAGGCACTGAACAGATGCAGGCTTTTGTATGTTAACACAGAGAACTTAGGTATTTTGAAGGGAGATTAAGCTATGCAATTATCTCCATAACAAGTTTGTGCCTGTAGTGCTTTAAGATTTGTTGGTCAAAGAAAGTTTAAGTCTTGGTTATTTTTTTTCTTGTAGATTTTCGGGAGCTGCAGGGCAATCACCAGCAGTTCACAGCAACTTGCTTAGCATTTGTTTGCCTCTCTCTCCTACTAGTTAAGTGGGCTTATAGGAATAATAGAGAAATGACAGTGGTGGTACAGAGTTCCCTGCTGTGGCTAGCAGAGACGGACGTGGAGGTTACATTTTGTGATGTATTTTGCATGGGATTTATGCAAATATAACAGCATGCTACCAAACACACACTGTATTTTATGTACAAAGGCTTTTACAGCAGAGCAGGCCTGTGGTAGAGTTAATTGTTCTCGCTGTCCTTAAGTTGAATGTTCTCTTCTGCCTGCTTATCTGATCTACAGTCATCGCAGAGTACCCGTTGCTGTCATTTCTATACACACTCCTGGTTCTGCTCTCTCCCTCTGTCATCACGTCAGACTCTTTCATAGTCTCCTTTTCTGCTCCTCACTGCCTTTTGGGAGAAGTTTATCTCCCATGGCTGAAAGTAATTGGGGTATTTGTATTGTATGCAGGAATGATGTATGATATTTTTTCTCATGTCTGGCAGGTTGTTTATAAGAATAACGACATTCGTCTGGAGCTGTCTCGCTTGGCACGAATTGGTGATACTAAGATGAAGATCTACGGGGAAGTTAAATTCGTATGTGAGAATGTGGCTACGCTGGATCCCATCAGCTTTGAGACACCTGAGGCCTATATTAGTCTGCCTAAATGGAATACCAAAAGGATGGGCTCCATCTCGTTTGATTTCCGAACCACTGAACCCAATGGACTGATCCTTTTCACCCACGGCAAGCCTCAAGAGAGGAAAGATGTCAGGAGCCAGAAAAATACAAAGGTAGACTTCTTTGCAGTTGAGCTTCTAGATGGGAACCTCTACTTGCTGCTGGACATGGGCTCTGGGACCATTAAAGTCAAGGCTACCCAGAAGAAGGCCAATGATGGAGAGTGGTATCATGTGGATATTCAACGAGATGGAAGATCAGGTAGAGTGAGGGCTTATTCTTAAGTGGATATATCATTCGTATCTAGATCTAGGGTGTGTATTGGCTTTCAGAACCTTCAAATGCTAGACACAAGTCATCTTACAAAACTTAGTGTTACTCCAGTGACATTTATCCAGCAAAGTAAAGATGTGAATGGCCAGGTTTTCATTAAATGTTTAGTGTGAACTCCAAATAGCACATTGCAGAGGCAGTCTATTAACATTTTATTCACAATTGTCAGATATTCTGGACCTACCTTTGCAATTGCGTACTTAACTGTAGTGCTAACTTCTTAGTAGGCCACGGTAAGGTTTAAGGTTCTTCAGAACCATTATTATTTCATTCTTGGTTTGAGAAACTCTCACTGATCTGCTTTGGGTTTCTGTTCAAAAAGAAACTTAGTAGACACCAAATGAGCCCTTCTTGTTTTGATGTAATATAATTTTCTCCTGGATCTTGTGTCTTTATAAAGAACAGGGATTTCTGATTTTGTGGTGAGGAAAATATAATGAATGGGTACAACCAGTGACAATATTATGGTGACAAATCAACATTTTCATCATCTATTTCTGTTAGCATCTTTCAGTTTTCAGTTAGATTTCTGTACTCTCAGCTTGGATGCCAAATTCTGGTCTAAATAACTGAGTCAGCATTCAGTGGATATTCCTTTTTTCCTTGCAGCTTCTCATTTTCAAAAACATGTTTTAGTTTAAATATACCTACCACGCAATTACCAGGATGTATTTTGTTTATTTCTAGTGCTGGAGGTAACATACTCACGATCTACTCTGAAGTTGTGTAAGGAAACAAAATAATCAAACACTGTAACTTCATCTTCAGAATATGGGAACGATTATACTTGAATTTCTCCTGAACTGGTGGGAGCTCAAAGCCTGGCTGTATGTGCCTTCAAAGAGAATTTTGCTTGCATTTGCAAATGGATTTGGGGTTTGTCTGGTGATCTCCAGATGATAGCGTTAGATCCCCAGTACTGTTTCCAAGTGCAGAATGCCCTCGGTAGAGAGAATGTAGCACTAGAATTTACTTCCCTCGAGTTTTGAAAAGAGCTGACATTTAGATACCATGCAAAGCCTTGCTGATTGAATAGGTCTTTGCCTGAAGCAAGTTTTTCTTTGAGTGAGGAGTTTCTTTGTATGGTGCTCTGCTAGGACTTAATATGTGTGGTTATATATTGCTATCTCCTAAAGACATCGATTTTATAACATTTTATAAAGGAAGCCATTAATAAATAAATGGAGCTTTGATTTCTTTAGAATCGCTCAAATTTAATTAACTTCCAAGGATAAACTCAATTAGTCGTATTCAGTACTGCCTTCAGTTTTGCTTGCTCACTTGAGGACTGCCTGGTCCCTGAAGAGGCAGCTGCAGGAGGAGGTGAAGCAGAAATGACACGAAGCTCTCTGCTAAGAAAGTTTGAGAAAACCCAAGAAGAGGGACTCCTGAGAGCCTCCTCGGAGGCTGTGTCAGGCAGCATTGCTGTGTGGTGGATGAGACTGCAGGACTCACTTGTTTGTCGCTCAGCAGGGAGGTTTGGAATGGCCTGAACACTGATCAGAGATAGCAGATATTGAATTAAAAGCACTTTGCTAAAAAAGAGTGAAGAGATTTGTATGTTCTTGTCTTCTCTCTTTTTTTTCCTTTCCTTTCTTTTTTTCCTTTTTTAAAAAAAATATTTCATTTTCTGCTGACAAGTGCTGTGTTAATGGTTCCTAGTGACTGATGTCTCCCCAGATAACCAGGATACGGGCATTGATTTCTTCACACTGTACCTTTACTGTGAAGCACTAAAGCATTAACCAGTCTTACCTAGTTGTACTTTTGGTCAGTGTGAGAAGCAAGTTCAGGATTCCTTCTTGTTTAGTCCTTGGCTTTTTTTCACATGTAAACCGGAGAATGCTTACACCTTGAATATATATATTTTTTTTTTTAAAATGTGGATGCCTGTCATCTAGAAACTAAACTGAAATAATGAACTTACTTAATGTAGGCCACAAAATAACCATTTGGGTTTAATGAGCTAGTGACCTAGAGGTTCTGATTTTCATTACTAAAGCAGCCAGGCCTTTATTAGGTGTCATCTCTTCCCTTCTTCCCATTTCTGAAACAGTCTAAAACTTCAGGGTCTGCTGAGCTTACTAAAATAGCCTAAATTTCCAAATACCCACAAAGGCAGGAGTGTAAATGCTGGGGAAGCATGGCAGTGGAGCTCAAATAACCTCTGGCACCTCTGTTCCCTTAGGTTTTGTGTATGCTTTGGTCTGTTTTGGCTGCCAGAGCAACAAAAGCTGTTTTTCTCTGTACTCTGCCAGAAGCTGACAGTGTGGGCATGGACACCTTGTGTCTTGTAACCTCTCTGTCCTCAGGGAAAGCTCCTACAAAGGGTCCACAAAACCTGCCACACTTTCTAGCTGGGGAACATTACACAAGGCAATGTTTTTGGCTGGTTATTGGCTACAAAACGCACATGTTCTCCCACCCACTCAGACACTAAAAATCTTACTGAAGGATTTGGTCTACGTCTTCATCAGTGCACCAGCTTTGCCCTCAGTAACTGGGGGTTTTTGGTCTGTGTGTTCTTTAGTCCTGCACAAAGTGCCTAAGGGATTGGAAAGGAGACACTTAGATACTTCTCATTTTTCAAGATGGGATTGAGTCTACCTAAAAAAAGAGATAAGAGAAAAAAATCCAAACCAATGATGACATGTCAGCTCATGTAACTGTTTCTTCATTGAGCAACTCAGAATTTCCCATCTCAGCAGCTTGATCTTAGAAGTGCTATGCATCCAAGCCAGTGCCATTTCCCTACAGGAATAGTTGCAGGGTACAAAACGCTGGCAGAAAGAGTAGGCTGCTCTCTAGCCTATTTTCTTTCATCATCTCATGCTCTTTCTCCAGGTTTTGCTCCTTGGTATCTAGTATTTCTTCTCTTTTGGGGAGTTTCTTTACCTTTGTGGCCTTTGCAGTGGTGGCTGTTTTCTCCGTAGTAGCAGCTGTCTGGAGCTCAGCCCTCCAGTATTTTGGATTTTTCTAGTCTTTTCAGTAATGTGCACTCCACATGCTGCATTTGAGGAGTAGCAGCAGAGATGCTGGCTGTGGGACTGCGATCCTGTGGCTCCGTGACAGGCTGCCTGTACGACTGTAGGTGTATTGTCACGTCTCCTCTTTTCTTACTTTGTAAAAGGGGAAATGTCTGTGCTGCTGCAGCTTGTTTTTACAAAATGATTCATCAAATAACCACGCTTCTCTTTGAGCCTTTAATTTGTAACGCCTTTGTTGCTTCTGCCACTCTGCTGCCTCTGACATTATTCCTAAATTACTACTGAACATCGCACACATGAAATACCTTGTCTCCGTGTCATGCGTGCTGTTCTCTAAGACAACACCTATTACAGCTGAAGATAGAGCACGCGTACACGACTGTACTTTCCCAGAGACACAAAACAGAGCTAGCTCTGTTATCTAAACTCTCCCACCTTATCATAGGCGTGTCTGATAATAATGCAATGACTTGGAATTAATCTTAAAGCTTGGATAGTGGTCTCTGAAGACAAACTATCTTAATGACAAGGCAACTGGATGCAATGATTTATAGCTAGGGACAGTGAGTTACTGATTTAGCTGAGTGCCCAGTGGACAGATGTCCCTATCACAAAAGCTGCTGAGTGCTCTTCTGAAGAGGATGCTGCTTTGGGATGTGGGACCTGCTTGATGTTCCCTGTTCTTCTTTGGGTGCACTTTCTGACCTTAAACAAGTCACTTTCCTTCTCTGCACCTGTTTCATGAGTTCTGATTATATTTCTGTGTTATATCTTCTGATTATTTTATGTATTCAGATAATGTCTTGAAATGTATAGGAATGGCCTCAGTGCAGTAATCCTGTATCTTGCTTGGAGCATACGGAAATTACTCCAGTTATTATTAAAACTGTTCTTCAGAGGTAACCTGTATCTTTCTCTACCTCAGTTTTCCTGTTTGTAAAGTGGAAATTAGAATGCTTAACTTTATTTGTAAAACCGTAAAATAATTTGTTTTGGAACAGGCCTCTAGAGATTTCTAGACCAAACTCTGCTGAAATCCAGGTTTTCTTCAGGACGGTGTCCAGTTTTGTTGTGAATACCTTCAAGGATGATGATTCCACAACCTCTCTGAGGTTCCCGTTCCCATGTTTGTCCACCCTCGTGGTGCAATATGGTCCTTTCTATGGAGTTGCTGCAACCACGATCACTGTCTCTTGTCACTGCAAGTGCACGCTGCTGACTCATATTGAAGTTGTGGTCCACAATATCCCCAGATTCTTTTCTGTAGTCACTCCTTAGCCCAGTTGGTATCCAGCCTGTACTTATACATGAGGTTATTCTGCCTCAGGTGTAGGACTTTGTCTTTATTGTTCGTTTTTAACATCAAACATTTCTATCAGTCCTTTGCTCCACCTTGTAAAGGTTTCTCTGAATGGTAGCTCTGTCCTTCCTCCAGTGCATCAACCATTCTCCCCAGTTTGATGTCATCTGCGAACTTGATGAGGGTCTATTTAGTCCCATCATCCAGGTCCAGCTTTGGAGGTAATGATAAAGTGTTTTCTATAGAGCTACGTAGTGTGAATTAATTCTCTCTAACTTATCTTTTTCCTCTCCAGCCCTGATATCATCAAACTCCTGTATGTTCTCAGTAAGTCTTTGCTTTGCTGGATGAATACCACTGAATAATGCTAAGTTTTCACTTGTTATTATTAGCCATCATATTGTTATACTCGTGACCTCACAATGCAAGTTTGGGTACAGACACATGATGATCTAGTCACTGCATGAAAGCACTTATGGCCTGTGATTCAAGAGGAGAGAAGCTGTGTGGGGGATACTGACTCTGTTGGGAGTGCAGTTGGGAGGGGTGCTTCATTCTCCTGCACTGAACCTTAAACCTCAATCAATTATTGGAAAAGAAATGAACTAGGCTGAGGCTGTAAGTGAAAGTATTGACTGATATCTCCTTACCCTCCTTATTTAGGTACTATATCGGTGAACAGCAGACGCACCCCATTCACCGCTAGCGGGGAGAGCGAGATCCTAGATCTTGAAGGCGACATGTACCTGGGTGGGCTGCCTGAGAACCGGGCAGGACTCATCCTTCCCACAGAGCTCTGGACAGCAATGCTGAACTACGGCTACGTCGGCTGTATCCGAGACTTGTTCATCGATGGACGAAGCAAGAACATCCGGCAGCTGGCGGAGGCACAGAACGCAGCGGGGGTGAAGTCCTCCTGCTCCCGCCTCAGCACCAAGCAGTGCGACAGCTACCCGTGCAAGAACAACGCGGTCTGCAAGGACGGCTGGAACCGCTTCATCTGTGACTGCACCGGCACCGGCTACTGGGGCAGGACCTGTGAGCGAGGTAAGCGGAGTTTCCTGACCTCAGTTACACAGAGCTCAAGGTGTGCAGAACTAGAACAACATCCAGTGTTTCTATGAGACTTTCCTCACTCTTGCTGGTCTTCCCAGTGCTGAGTTCCAGTCTCCACACTGGGAAAGCTTTCTTCTCTGATGGTTTCCTTTTAGTCTTTTCCACCTTCATTTCATGAGCTTACCTTCTTCCTCTGCCACTTCACTCCCTAAGCCTTCTGAAGTCCTTGTTTTCAGGTTTGTTTGAGTATGGTTTGTCTCCTAAGGCAGAAAATACTGCTCCATGTGAGGAGTCTCAGATCACTGGAAACAGTACCAAGTGTGGACTTGAGTTATTGGGATTTTTCTTGCATGGGATAGATGATGTATCCCAGTTCTGCCTTCCTCTTTTTTGCATGGTAGGATATCCCTGATGGCTGTTTATGGGTAAAGCCAGCTGATGCGATGGTGTTAACAGCAACATGTCTCTAAATTCACCTCTGATAAGGCAAATCTGTAGGAGATGGTGGGAGATTCTCTGCATCTTATTCTTACTCATTCTGACCGGTGATTTAAAGACATTTGATTGGAGATATGAGGCACAAGTAATGCTGGTACAGGCAGGCAACATGTTCTAGGCCCCATGGAAAGGAATTTACTAATGTGAAATAGCTGAGCTATACATTTCTCAAATGTGAGGTGGTTCCATTAATTGCTGTTGTCTTTATTGTACTGGTGCCACCTTCAGAATGAGGTAGGTGAGTTTTGGTTTATTTTGTTTCTAAAAGATGGGGCTAAGATCGCTTAGAAAAGAAAATACTCCCTAAAGGGTATTTTCTTATGTTGAAACCAGTCTTCTGTTAATATTTGGCCATTAGCACTGCATTCTGGCTGAACTTCACTCACAGTACACCCAAGAATTAACTGTAACCCATCAGCAGAGTCTTAGGGCTTTCTGCTCCTTCTTTCTAGTACCTTACTTGGCACCATAGCCTAATGGTTATAGCGTGTGTCTTAGAATTGGAAATTTGGATATTTTTGAGCTTCTGCCATGAATATTTGAAAAGCTCCTTTCCCACTAAGTGTCCCCTCTACGCTTTTTAAAATATTGATCATAGTGCCATGCCGCTTATGAGAAAGAACAAGAAAGTTAGATACTGTGCATACAATATTAGGCAGGCTTTTTTCATGTATCCAGTCCACGAAAATTTATTCCACGTGAGCCACTTCTTGTGTTGCCACAGAACCTCAGGCATGAAAGCCACGTTTTGTCAGACACTGGGCCTAAACCGGTTAAGGGTCTGTGGTTTCCAGTTGTAGGCAAAATAAGTTTCTGCATGCACCTTGTATGTTGTCCTGAATGACAACGTCATTGTTTTTGTTAACCTTAAATACACTCTGATATTTATTAGCACCTCAGGTTTCCATGCTGGTAGACATGCATTCATACATGTATCTCTCCTATGCATATTAATACTGACCAGAGCATCACCAAGTTATGGATCTCAGGCCAGACAAGAAGCAGCTCACAGGGAATAAATATTTGGGGACTGCATACATGAAAAAAGTTGTGCCGATTGAAGTGTATTTGACTCCACAACCCTTATTGTGGTGTTGCATAGCAGGCTTATACTGCTTTGATACAACTACTTGATATCAGGTGTCTGCATTAGTGCCCAACGATATATATGCCCTCTGTGAACAAAAGTATTGCAGGCTAGCAATGATATTTTTCACTCTCATGGTCTGACACCCAAGGGTTATTGCCAGTCCTGACTTCAGCTGGCTCCTGTTCCAAATGCTGCTGGAAGGAGAAAGGTTGAGCTGGAGACTGGGAAGGGAATCAAAGCGAGGGATGCTGCCTTGCCACAGTGGCACTTGTGCACAGGGGTTAGGGAGCTGCCACAGGGCTGGGGGCTGCCAGGCTGGTGCATAAGGGGAGGAATGAAGAAGGAGTGAGTGAACTCTATTAATAAGAGACAGCTACTGACCCACTTTCACAGTCTGTCATCTGTTACCTGAGATGGCCTGGCTCTCTCTATTCAGTCCTTAGACTTCTGCCCTGTCAAAAGGGAGGAGTGTAACTCCTGGAAGGGGTTTGCAGCCCAAGATTTAAGGTTAAGAGGCAGGGGAGTCTAGAATAAAGAATCTTCTATGTCTGTTTTAGCTATTGAGAAAATCATTCTTTCTTCTCTTTTTCTTTGAGAAAATCACAAAGCAAAGCACATACTTAACATTTAGTTAAGGTACTAAAGTCACAGAAGACAAACTCCAGGGAGAGAAGAGGATGATTCATTTGTTACTGATGGTAAAGTCTGTCTCCCACTTTCCAGGTATAGCATTTCTACATTTATAATGCTGTATTTTGCATACATTTTATACTTTGCCATATGAAGGACCGTTGCATATCTAAGAGGGACTTGAAAAGGAAATTGATTGTGTCATAGAGGTTTGGATTCTTTTTATTCATGGTGAAACAATACAGATATGTGATATTCAGTACGTCACCTGTATCTAAAGCCTGTGGGAGTTTGTCCTGTCAGTGAACTAACACCTTTGTATGTTCAGCAAGCTGCACTGGATGCAACATAGACTTTGGTTGCAATGATCTCCTCACGCAGTACTTCTGTGCAGATGGAGAAAGCTTGCTGTGGCTGTAGTCCGATAGGGCACAGAAAGGAGAACTGCTGCCAAGGCCTCAAATTCATTTGTACAATTCCAGTATCTAATAGGTCATTCAGAACTGGCAGCAATGTAAGCAAAGGTATTTTCTTGAAGTATCATTGCATCTAAGAGTAATGTAGTCCTTCCTTGGGATAACTGAAATTGCACAGAAGAGATGAGGTGAGACATGGCAAAGACCTGTTCATATCTAAGATGTCCCCACCCAAGGAGGATTATGGCAAGGAGTTGGAAGTGCTGGTAGATTGCCCTGGTTCTTTTGGTAGCTGGTTTTTTCCTGTACTCAGCTCTTCCTGATTGAGCTAGGAAAGAATATTCTTGGGGAACAAATCCTGAAGACTTCTGGCAGGAATACTTGCATTCAGGTCCTCACGGTAGAAACTAGAGTGAAGGGACATCACTATTTGATCCTCAGAAAGGCCAAGACAAAGCGCTTCACCTAAACCAGACTTTCTTCAGTCTTCATTAATTTCATTTGATCTGCTAGTGAGATTGTGTTTCTTTCCAGCTCTCTAGCCCATGGCAGGTGACACAGAAGGGAGGGGAGATGAAATTGCAGTGGGATCCATGGGCCAGAAGTGCTCAACGCCGGGCTGTGAGGCTAAGCAAAGGCAGCAGCAAGGGCTGGCAATTAACTGGATGTGGTCACCATTTCATACCTCACACAAGAGCCTATGCTGACCTTGTAATGCACCCATTGGTTATTTATTTTCTTAAATCCTGGAGCTTCCCATTCTCTGTCATCTTTTCATAATGCTTCTCTACAACCCAGTTTATCTCAGTGTGGCAAGCTTGGAAATCATAAGTGAGAAGAACTGTTTCGATCCACTGCTAAAATTAAGGAGCTGCTATAAACACAACGGCATTTGGATGAGTTTGTGAAACTTTGGAGATTCCACTGTAGCTGTTGGAAGGAAACAGTGGTGTGGCTGTCCACCAAGCTAGGAAATAAGACTCTGATGGCTTTGGAAGCGGCATGAGGACCTGTGCTAATTGTCTGAGTTCCCTGTGCAGGCAGTGAAGAGAGGCTGTTGCTTCTCAGGAGAAATCCAAAGCAATAATGCGATCTACTTGCCTCCAGTTGTTGATTTGACTGTCTCCTTATATTGATTCTGTGGTCTGATAATTCAGTATTGCTGCACTCCAGAAGGTAACTGTCTGTGCTGCAGAGGAATTGATAGTGCCAAACTGCCAAGGCTCCCAGAATGACAAAGAAGAGGATGTCTTGTTTAGGGTGGGGGCATAAAGTGAATAAAACAGAAAAGAAACTAATAGATAGGACACAAATCTTCCAGCAAGTGAAGCTCTGAGTGCCTTGTAATGAGGTGATGATCTTCTCACCTCCGCTGCTCCCCGAGTTTTCCAGCACTCCTATTAAATCTGATCAGAGTATGTACGGTGGAGAGATAGATTTAATCATGCCAGAAAGACTCCTGAATTGAAAGGCATTTTTGTTGGTCTCTCTGAAATGAGTGACAGACACAGTGAAGTTGGATTTGTGATGGCAGTTATGGGTTTGGGTTGTGGTGTGTCAGGCATTAGAAAGAAAAGCAAAAAACTTGGTAATATTTAGTCGTTCTTGCATCCTTGGGTTTTAGAAAGAATAGGAACATCAGAGGACAGTAGCTTCAGTGCAGTCTTTGTGTTCTAGAGCACTTGATTTAACAGGTCTGCCTTTTTGCTGGTTGTTTTCAAATAGAAAGGCCAAGGAGTACTTCCCAAATGCTGTCCTCTCAGACATTAGGTAGGCTTTGGGAGAACTGCCAAAAAGGATCCTCCAGTGCAATGGGTAGCACATTTCCTCCTGTTGCATATGAACTGAATTCTCACACTGAACCCAGTACAAATTAGGGTGAGTTGCAAACGTACATACAGGAGGGTGGGAAGCCTGAGTTCGTACAGCTACTGTGAAGGATCTTTAGCATTTTTTAGGTACTTAATGTCTTCTGCACCCTTTGGTTTCTAATTTGTTACTATTTGACAGCAGTTGCAGCATCAGGTCACTGCAGCCCCCTGTTCATTGCACTTGAAGAGGTGGGATCTGGCTGGTGGAGGGTGATGCATTGTTTTTCTGTGATAACAAAGTACCTCCTCACAACCCGTGGAGTTCTCTGAAAACAACCCCAAAGCCCTGGCATTAAACAAGCAGGAGGAGGGGGAATGTGTGTTGTATCACATTAGCTATTTTCTGTAGCTGCAGTGAAAATGCCATGGGCTCAAAAGGCATGAGGTCTGGTCTTCTGCTTTCCTTCTACCACAATGCTGTGGGAGGGACTGCAGAGGGCAAAAGTCCAGCAAGGAAAGCAAAAGAGAACTATAAATCAGATTGTTTTAAGCCAATGAAAATTAAATATGCTTGATCACTCACTTTTTAATGCTTTCTCCTACTTAATTCCCTTGGCTGAAGG